TCACCCAGTGTGACATCATTCACTGTCCCATCACCCAGTGTGACAGCATTCACGGTGACATCGCCAAGTGTGACAGCATTCACTGTGACATCACCCAGCGTGATGCATCCACTATGACATCACCCAGCGTGATGCACCCACTATAACATCACCCAGCGTGATGCACCCACTATAACATCACCCAGCGTGATACACCCACTATAACATCACCCAGTGTGACATCATTCACTGTCCCATCACCCAGTGTGACATAATTCACTGTGACATCACCCAGTGTGACATCATTCACTGTGACATCACCCAGCGTGATGCATCCACTATGACATCACCCAGTGTGACATAATTCACTGTCACATCACCCAGTGTGATATCATTCACTGTGACATCGCCCAGTGTGACAGCATTCACTGTGACATCACCCAGCGTGATGCACCCACTATGACATCACCCAATGTGATGCACCCACTATGACATCACCCAGTATGACATCATTCACTGTCCCATCACCCAGTGTGACATCATTCACTGTGACATTGCCCAGTCTGACATCATTCACTGTGACATCACCTGCTGCAACATCATTCACTGATCGTCACAGTCCTATAATTAACAATGTGTGTTAATCAGATTGTCAGCATGTGTGTCCATGTTAGAGGTTTACTACAGAGCTAGGAGCTTGACAAACTCCACACACGAGGAAGAGATTTTCAGATTAATGGGCAGAAAGGGCTGATACAGACTGAGAACCCCAACATTAACACCTAACAGGAAGGAGAGAGACACCTACTGTCAGAGCCATTGGGCTGCAGCGCGGCGTAGGAGTCGAAAAAATAGACCCGAGGGAGCGACTGAATGTCTGGGAGAGAGGAGGGCACAGCGAGAGAAAGGGGGGAGAGAGAGAGGGGGCAGGTGTTAGTACACGGGCAGAGACAGGAATCTTAGCCGGTCAGTCATGCTGGGGTCTGACTACACTGCCCTAGGTGCGGAGGGTGTGCAAGTGCTTCAGGCTGAAGAGTCCCTCTTCCTCACTCTTCCTCAGTTCGCTCAGCTCTGCTCTCCTGCTGCCCCTCTCACTCTCCTCTCACTCCACTCAGTTCAATACTGGCTGGACCAGTGAATAGACCAGTGTTGCCCAAGATACACACAATTAACACAACATCTACAATACAGACACATCATAGACATTTACACACAGACAGATGGAGCATTACTGAGAGACAG